CAAACAAAAATTTCGCCTCTCAGGCTTTGCTTTTTCGTCTCAGGATGCGTAACGATTCAATTAAAAATGCTAATGTGTCGCGCCTCTCGGTTCGAGTAAACAAAACCTCAATAAAGAGGGGGAGAACAGCAGAGAAAGGTCGGAACCGCGGTTCAGGGACCATGTCGGCTCGGACTTGGAATCGGCTCAGACCAGGCACAGCTCATATTGCATTTGCAGGGCCGAAAAAAACATAAATTTTTAATGAGCAGACCCAATGCCTTTGGCATTTCATATTTATGTAAACATGCATGCATCAAAATTAGTTGCAAAAATAAATGCAAATACAAAAAAAATACCCAGACGACAATGGTGTTCTGTGTGGTCTTCTGGCATTCCCTTATCAAATTGCAGAATTTGCATAAAAAACAATCAATTTCAAGCTTGCATTTTTGGAAATTGATCAGATTATGGAGAATTCAATTTACATTGAAAAATGATTGGTCGCGACTTGTAACAATGCAGATTCTGGAAACACTGAGATATTATTTACTTATGAAGCTTTATAGATCGTAATTATGAAGAAACATTCTGTCACTGTATTTTTCTATATAGAAAACTTTAAAACTCATAGAGCATTGTTCATGCTGGTCAAGAGAGTGTACAGAGCCCCACATATGCTTCCCCTCTCAAAAACAATTTGATTTCATGTCAGATCTGGAACATTTTGCACATTAAAATTGAATCATATTTCATCAAGACGAGTGGTGATTTATTTTCTTTTTAATACCCAACATTCCATGGGCATGCCATTCAAATTTGTGCCTTGGGCGACAGATCTTGTTAAGGAAATTAAAAGGGAGAAAAATAAGAAAAACAAAACAGCTGACAGACAATCAGACAAATTGACGGCCCGTGGCCCACACGCAACCAGAAGGAGGGAGTCTGCCCTGTGACAGACTCAAGGAATGGAGAGACTAAAAAGAAATCATTGTCAATAAATTTGCTGGCTGACTTGTGAAATTTACGCAAAAGCCGAACAACGCGAGCGGCAGGAAAATACTTGAAAGATGCTGCAGAAGGCGAAGAAGCGGCACCGAGGATGATGATGAAAAGTTATTAATGGAAAGGAATACCAAAGACTCTTTGTCGCCACGTCGGTGTGTCTGCGGCTGTGGCTGTGGCTGTGGCTGTCTCCTGTATTTCTTTTTTAATTGTACAATAATATTAAATTGCAAAAGTTGCACAAGCAAATTATTAATGGTCCCATGAGTCGCATGTTGAGGATAAGCCCAACAATCGTCGTCTGTGGGTGTGTCAAGAGTCAGGCAAGTGTGAAGGAATAAACAATCATGTTTGTATCTGTATCTGAGGACGTATATGGGTATATGTCTGACAGACTCTTTTTTTGGGGCCTTAAGTGCACCAGCGGCCAAATATGGGGAATCGAATGATGTGCGAAGGAAAAGCTTCCCCAACCGTATGACAATTTCATTTTAAATGCCAGCTGAGTTGATTTTCCTCGAAACGAAATCCAAGTGGATCAGCCACCGCAGCGATCGAGCTGGCATTCTGGGAATCGCTGAAATGGTCGTACTTGGGTAACCTAGCCCACTAACCGGGTTCCATTTTCATTCACATGCTCGCACAAACAGGCACACAAACAGCTGTTGCGGTTACTGCTTTTGTGAGACATGAAAAGCAAACAAAACAACGCGAAAAATACAACACAATACTCCTACGAAATTGTTATATTGGGACGGCAGGGCGGCAGCGAAACGAAAAGAAAAGTCAATAATTCCAAGAAAATCAAGACAAACAAAAGGCAAACATACATTAAAGCCAAAGTCAAATGAAGGAAAAATGGTGAATCCATTTCCACGCGAAACAGAATGTACGAACAAGGGGGAGAACACTTGAAATGCATTTTCACACAGACAAAATTCTTTGGTTAATTTTGATAGTTTGCTGCGCTGTGTTTTTGCGGTAAAACGATGGCACTCAAATATGTATTTACAATTTGTAGAAACAAAAATATTTTATGAGTTTTGGTATTTTTAGCCATTAAATGGCCAATGCCAAAACACATTCATGACGTATGCGTAATATGAAAATATCCCACGCAAGACGGAGCCACAGAGGACTTGCCTTGACATCCAACAAATTCCATTTACAAGGGTTGTGTACGAGTGTGAAAATGATATATGGAATACAAACAGTCCACCCATATTCGGACAATTCTCATGGCCGGTCAAATTTCATCAACACAATAACCTTTTCGGGAAAATTTCCACAAAAAATAACTGCAAAAGAACACTGCCACGGTGGGTGTTCGTCCCCGGGTAAGTTCCAGTGTGTCTTTACGAGCAGACGACATTGCACAACGAGCCGCATGTATATTTTTTAATAGCTGCAGTTTGTTTACAAATTGGCGACATTAAAAACTATTAAGAGGAATCGACAGGCGGGCAGGCCAGACGGACGGATGGCCGGACGGCCTCCTCCAAGAAGAAGGGAAAACTCTTGACGAAGGCAAATAAAAACAAATTATAAATAAACGCAAATAAATAGAAAGATATGTGTGTGTGTGTGTGTGTGTGTGTTTCTTGCGGGCATGGAAAACTGTGTCGCTGTGTCAGTGATGCTGCGACGCGTCGCCACATTTCCCCGCGCTCGCGTTTTAAATAGCCAGAAAAACGCGCGTTTGTCGCGTCGCTGTCGCGCGTTTTGCATAGCTTCAATTTGTCTTTTCTAAATGCCAAATGCTTCTTGATAGAACCCCCAAAAAAAGAGCCTAAAATTAAAGTATTTTTACCTTTGAGCAGCAACAACTTGTTTGTACCGGAAAATTGCACGTACTTTTGTAGCTTCTGGGGCTTTTGTGTTCAACTTTAACCCAATGGGAATTTATTTTCACTGGCACTCTCACGACTCGTCGTTTAATTGCCACTGCACTTGATCTTATATGGTGGTATTACTCGGACCCGCGCGACTGTCCGTTGGAGCGTTCCACTTCGCTGCGCTGCTTTTTCAGTTGTGATTGCGTTTGGTATTGGAAAAAGTCCAATACCAAACGCAATACCAAATCAATCCCACTCAAGCCCGAGAGAGAGAGCGCGCAACGAAGCAACGAATCGTCAAGCCATTTTTTTCTTCGGTTTTCTTTGCCGAAGCTCCGATCCCACTCAAGATCGCTCACTCGGCCGCTGAGAGCACAAGAGCAAACGAGCGCGATTGCGATCGCGATCGCTTTTGAGCTTTTTTCCTAGTCCCCCGCATAAGCTGCTGTCGGGCGATCAAAAGCGTAATAAATTCATTGCAAATGAGTAAAACGGCGGAGGAGCACCGAGTGAGAGTGAAAGAGAGCGGCAAGAGGCCGAGTCCATAGTTGCATATTTCAGTGCATTATTTTACCTTGGCAGCTTTATTAATTGCGTGCAGGGGCCTGGTTTATGCTCTCGGGCATAGCATGGCATAGGCAATATGTATGCACATATGCTTGGCGCCACAGTGAGAGCGCGGCAGCAGGAACCGCAGCAAAATAGCGCATCTGTCAGCCCACAAATCAAGCAATAATTTAGTTATACTTGCCCACCGATACGGCTTACTTCCACTTCCTAGAGAGGGTAGGGTATGCCTGGCACACACGTGCTGTGCTGTGGGCATGGTCATGCTTGGTCATGGTACGCCTACAACACGTTGCCATAATCTGCATACACGACTAGCCCTAACGCCACCAAGTACTCGTATGAGTACGAGACGCACAAAGATATGCACTGGTACATATATCGCTCACTCACCATATCCCACTCCCTCTCAACCCGATTCGGATGCGTCACAGTGCATATTTTAGGTCCGCTGATATAACTCGATAGCAGACCTCTAGACAGCGGCCACTCGAGCGGAATACGTAGCAGCTTCCAAGAATTCCTGCTATGCGGGGGTGTGACGTCTGGCGTAGATTCCTCTCCCGCTCAGGCTCCCCTCACTCATTCTCTCTTATGCTGATATTCATTGAGTAATTTGCTCTCGCTGCCTCCTCCTGTCAACATGACTGTCTCTCATCGTTTGCGACAATTCTTCTTTCTGCTTCTCTGCGTCATGGTTTGTTATGATTTTCCTCCCAGCTATATTTTGGATTGCATTGCCATACCCCGGGGCGCGTAGAGTGGAAGGGTATGTTCAGTTCTTCTGAATGGTTGCAACGGGAAGAGGATTGCAAATACTTTTCAAAGTTTCCCTGCAACGGCAACATTTTGTGGTTTTTGTGTACATTTTGTATTCATTCGCAAGCAGAGATCGATCGATCATATGTAAATGTAATAATTACTTAAGAGGGGATCTTAATGTCGGTATCTTGAAAATGGTCCGAGTATTTTGTTTACTTGGTTTATCTTTGCTGATGTCATTAAATTTAATAAACACAAATTTGTCCAGGGCAGTCCATATGTTTATTTATGATTTATCAGCTGTTTAAATATGGCAGATGATTAACATGTGTGGGCCTATGTACATTTACATTTAACATATATGTATGTGTGTGTATGTGTTTGTAATTATATTATCAATAGGAAATTCCATTGAATTATTTAATATGAAATTATTCAATAGATGCTATCAGGGCCTTGTAGTTTCTCTCCGGTATTCAAACCTGAATTTGTTCATTAATAACCTGAACGAATTTTCCTGAGTAACTGAGTAGGCATGAGACGTTCGCTCGATTCGTGGAAATTTGCGAGCAATCAAAGACCATTTCCATGGCCAGATTCAGAGTCGGAAATCGAGCAAAAACAAATACGAGAAAGACAAATGAATTTGGCATTTATCCAAGAGATTAATAAGCGGCATGGGTACGTGCGCCCTGCCCTGAGATTTCCGCAGCAAATAAAATCAAAAGAAATCGAATACAAAGTGCATGGGTCCGGTCCCATCGGCATATTGTAATTTATATAATGCCAATCACAATCACAGACAGAGCGAGACACAAATTGTGATTGCATTCGACCTCTTCCTCATTGCAGTTCCAATTCACCAAGTTCCCCAGCGTGCTGAAGGCCGGACATTGTCATGGCGGAGTGGCCACCGCTCGGCTGGAGAACCAGAGCGCCCTGCAAGATGCCGCCGGACTAGTCAGCGGTGCCGGCAACGATACGCATTGTTATTGCACCATCGAGCCCTACATCGATGCCAAGTTCAGCGTTCACATCCAGAAGATTGGCAACAACTACAAGGCATTTATGTAAGTGATGACCACAAACCGCAGGCAGACGGGGCAGACGCCGCGCACACAATGCTGAAAGCCTCAATGATGATGGGTTGGGTATCGGGATGGGTCGGTCGAGTGGTCTGGACCGACAATTGACCTTGAGCTCAGCGGCAACTGTCAGCAGACAAAAGCCGCAGCAATGCAATTGCCAATTATCCTCCTACCAAGTGCATTGAGCGGCAAAAGTTCATTGTTTGCCAACCAAAATGCGACGAGTTCAAAGATCTGACTCCCTCTCGACCCCAATCCCCCAACTGCGGCAGCATCGAATTATCTACGCTCTTTTGCGGCATGCTAATTTATTACGCTTGCTTGCTTTCGATCTCTTTAACAGGCGCAAATCCATCACCGGCAATTGGAAGACCAATCAAGGCTCGGCCATGCTGGAGCAAATCACTTTAACCGAGAAGTACAAATCCTGGGTGGATGAGGTAAGTCATCAAAGCAGACTCGCGAGATACTAAATCATACAATAAAACAAATGACTAAACGACTTGGGTATACCCTGGAGCGGCGTTCAAGTTTACCAATGAATTTTAAGATAAATATTCTGCACCTTTTACTTAAAGTTACGAGAGGTAAATTTTACTCAGAAGTAGATCTACCGCAGACCCATATTTCGATATATATTTATCCAAATTTCGTATGGTGTACCAGGAGGTACTTCAAGTCTTTACGTCATGGCAAATGCACTCTAGAAATATGGGGCATTCCAGCCCATATTCTCCATTGAGAGACTCCTTCACCAGTGCCCCATAGGCCAGCACACAGCCTCCGTTACAGCCTCCATTTCTGGGCCATGCCAAAGCCAAAGCCAAAGCAGCTCAGCACAGCTTAGCCTTTTGCATACATTTATCAAATTTGGCCAATCAATATGGCTGAGGCTGAGGCAAATCGCTTTAAATTATTTGCGGCATTTTGGGTGCACAATTTTGATTTCGGCTGTGGTCTGATTTGCCCAGTGGGGGGTGGTGCTGCTGGAGGAGAACGATTCGGGTCTACTCTGACTGACGTCAGTCGTTGGCTGTTTACTGTGCCCTCGAGTGTCGGCGGCGCTTTAATTAGAGCTCGTGAATATGCAAATCGCAAGACAGTTGAAACGGATTTAGCCGCACACACTGCACACGTGAGTGTGAGGTATGAGGTAACGGGAATGGAACAATCTGATTGCTTGATGAGGTATTTATGTCTCGAATCGTACATGAAAATGCCATCGATTGAGGTATTCCATCAAACAGAACTCCCACCCGTAGATGGCTCAGTGGCGCTTCCTTGGAGCGGAGGCTGAATCACTTCAGTTCGCTTTCCGGCACTGCCTGCACTGCATATGAGCATTAATTAATGCCATTTTGTTGCACAAGTATTCCTCGCTCAAGGCATTCGGATTGTGCGGCATGCGGGAAGTGTTTAGGGTTCAAGTGGGTGGGCCGATGATGACGACGCGTCGTCTATTTCAGTTTTCTAGGCAAGTCAGCAGCAGTTTTAATCAAAACAAACTGTGTAATTAAAACCAACTGCACCAGCCCACACAGCACAGTCTGCCTCTCTTTCTGTCTCTGTCTCTCGCCACTGGCTGTGACTCGGACGGGGGCATGAAATCGAAACCACATTTTGGGGCCATGACTCAATCGCGGAATTGAGCGGAATTCTAATCACTAATGCAATTGGGTTCACTTACAGATATCGGAGCTCTTTGGCGGCATGGAAGTGTGTGGCCTGTCTGTGGTCGTGGCCAAAGATGGACGCGAGTACATCATCAGTGCCTGCGACAGCACGTTTGCGCTCATCGGAGACAGTCAGGAGGATGACCGCAGGCAGATTGCCGACTTGGTGTCGGGCCGCATGCAGGTGGGTTCCACAGAAAAACAAATCACCTTTAGAGAGCCTTTTCAAGCAGCTCTCATCTCTCCCGTAGAACGTTTGCCGACCCAGCATGGCTCAGACAGGACCGGGCAGGCTGCCCTCACGCTCGTCGGTGTCCTCGCGGGCCGAGAGCCCCACAGACGATGGCATGGCACCAACACCGCCACTTCCAGCCGGACCACGGCCAGCACCAATGGGCGGACCACCTCCGATACCGGAGCGCACCTCGCCAGCAGTTGGGTCCATTGGGCGGCTGAGCAGCCGCAGCAGCATATCCGAGCTGCCGGAGGAGCCGTCCTCCTCAGGGCCGAGCACTGTGGGAGGAGTGCGGCGCGACTCGCAGACATCGCAGGCATCGAGCATCTCGTCGGTGTCCAGGGTGGGACAACGTCCTCCGCAGACGCAGAGCTCCGTGGTGGAGGATGCGGAGGACACGATGAAGAACCTGAGGAAGACGTTTGCGGGGATATTTGGTGACATGTAGGAAATCGCTAATAAGAAGCGCGGCAGAACGGCGAGCGAGACAAGCAGCGGCCTGGGCAGTGTGCCCAGCAGCGCAGGACCAGGATCAAGTGGAGGCAGCGCCTTCAGTGGCTCCTTCCTGGGCAAGCAGTTCTCGTTCGCCTCGGGCGGCAAGTCAGGCAACGGCAATGGCAATGGCAACAGCATAGATGTGATCTCCACACAGCCCAGCCGGCCGACGCAGGATGAGCCATTAACGGCCAGCTCAGCCGTCCAGCCCGGCAGCAGCGTTTCGGATAGCGTTAATACAATTACGGATACAAATACGGATAAAGCCGCCGGCGGCTATAAGCCGGTGACCAACTTTGAGCCACAGGAACGGGTCAATCCCTTCGACAAGGAGCCGCACAAGTCAACGAGCGTGGCCAGCATCGCTGGTGCCGCCTCGAACAACACCACCTCATCCTCCTCGTCGATCTCATCGTCATCGATCTCATCGCGCATCAATCGCAATGGCAACTCCATCAAGTCACCGCCCCCACCCTCGGGGCCACCACCGCCGCCACCCACCGTGGCCACGGTTCACAGCAATGCCAACAGCTCGAGTGGCTATCGCAACAGCTTTAGCAGCACCCTCAGCAAGGACAAGACCAGCTACGGCAACTACGGCAGCTCCACCTCCATCGAGACCATCACACGCATGGACACAAACACCACAAACACGGCAGCCACCGCCACGGGAGCCGGAGAGGCCAGCGGCATCACGGCCATCACGGCCATCACCAGCATCAGCAACAGTGCTGCTGGCACTGTAGGCGGAGCAGTGGCTCCCCCCACAACAGTCGGCGCAATGACCACCTCGGCCACCACCAACGATTGGCGCTCGGCCATAGGCATACGCTCGGCCAGCGTCTACAGTGCACCGGCGGCAGTGACCACCACAGCACTGCCGGGCGACACGTCCGGCTATGACTCCAACTCGATTGCCTCGCAGGCGGAATACAACAATCCCAGTGATCTGCCCTCGTACACACGACCCTCGTACGCACGCTCCGAGAGCAATGGTAATTATCTCGCTGTGGGCGTACTCCTCGTCAGCCTAACGCTGCGCAAGACCTAGATCCAGACATTGGTCCTACCAAAAGCTATACTCATATCTATATATGCGCTCATGTCATTTAATCTCATTATCGTACTAATCAGCTACACCCCATATAGGTATATACAGATACATATACATATATATATATATATATAGGCATATAGAGACCAACTAACTGTAACTTACTTGTACAAGTGTATGTGTAAACTCTTAGCCATGTAGGCAGCCAAGGCGGTGTCAAAGTGTTAGCCCTAAAAAAGCGACGAAACGCAAAGCAATTAGGTGTCTTTTCTTTTTGTTTTGTGTGTTGGCCTGAGCCTTTGTTGTTGTTAGCCTACCTAACTGTTTTGATTTTCCTAGTACGCCAACTCTCAGAGTGTAAGCCAAATATTACGTATACGTATACGGATACGTATACGAGCTGCGAGCCGCCCCCAAGTGTTTGTAAGTCTCCCTCTCTCTCTTGGCCAGTGCTGCTATCGCTTGTCTGCACGCACCCAAATGCAAACACACCAAACACACACATGCACGCACAAACAGAACAACAGCAGACAACAACAAACAGTAAAGGTAACAGTGCAAGTACAGTAACAACTCGCTAGAGTGCACCGCAAAACTTGAGTTCATTTCCGGCTTCTGGGCACGCATCGCAACGAAACAAAATCCAACAAGAGAAAACAAACAACAAATATATAAAAACACTACAACAACAACAACAACAACAACAACAAAGTCTAAAGTCTACTCGAAGCTTCTAGTTGAACAAAATTCTTGGTAGTTATGTATGTAATGCAACCATTTTGAGTTTACTGTTGTATTATGTGTATGTGTGTGTGTGTGTGTGTGTGTGTTTGTGTTTGTATTGAAGTAAATGCAGAGTTATCAAAAGATGTCTAAAAACGAAATTCTAATCCCCTGAGGGCGCCCACATAAATTCTCATTCCCATTCGGTCACACATCCATTCATGAGATTTTGTTTTGGTAACACTCATTTGGCTCATTCTCCATCCACGCACCCGAATCAAGTTCGTATATAGAAACGTAAAGCAATTGGCTCACGTAGTGCTAACAATAAGTGCTCAAGACTGCACCCACGCCAAATTGATGTGCACTTTGAATGTCCCAATAAAACCCAAAACTATTTTACTAATCCGCACCATTGATTCTTGCAGCCTCCAGGTCATCGGATCTGGACATTATATTCGGCGATCCCAAGAGCACCAGCAACACCAACGCATCCTATGGCAATGGCAAGTTCACGAGGGCCTCCGGCTCCATCTCGGATGCGGATATGATTTTCGGGGGACCTCCTTCGAACTACAAGACCGATCGCTTCGGTGCGGCCAAGAGCATGAGCATGAGCTCCAGCGGAGTGGGTTCCGGCTCTGGGCCCGGTGTGGGCAGCTATAAGACCTACGAAGGCATACAGAATGCGGCCTTCAGTGACTTCAGCGACACGGGCAGCATGAGCAGCATGGGATCGGCCACCAGGCGCTGGAGTGCCGCCAGGGAAGATGATGATGAAATCGATTTGAAGTGAATCGAAAAAACGCACTCTAACCTATAGCCATCACCTATCATCGTTCACACAAACCTATACTATGGAAATCGATCTGTTTTCTGCCTCTGAAGTTTCCTGGTTTCATGCGAATGAACACTAAACACTAAACACTAAACACATACTCGTCTATCCACTGGGTTACTATCCTTTTCACTATGTATTCTAACTATAAATGTGTGTCTTGTTACCGAATATTTACTGTAAACCCATAGAATTCATTTGCCATACAAGAAGGAAAGGGAAAGAATGAGGAAAGCAGCAGCAGAAGCAACTCTGTAGACACTGTAGTACACTACTAAATCTATAATTATAACCACCAATGCAACAACAATAATGCAAAGCCCGTACATAAATAAATATGTGTGCAAAGAGATGACTTGACTGGTTTTGCAGCATGGTAAAAGGAAATGGAAAATAAACATATTTAATTACCATACCTAAAACATTTTGAAAGATTTTCCAAAACAAAAAACATATACATATATTAAATATATTATTGAGACAAATATTGAATTATATATATACCTCCCCCACACATATTATACCGATTGAATGTTGAGGACATAGAAGGTATCCGCAAGCGTCTATATATTAAATGTTAATGGGAGAACTTTTAATCGAAAAAATGTATTAATGAATTTGTTATATAAACCAACATGAGACAGGATATAATATCAAAAAAGAACTAAAAACAACCACAAAAAAAAGGATAAAGGACAATATGCGCAAGAGTATGATAAACAAGCAAAAGTTTAACACTAACACTAACATAATATATGATATGCGTTATAATTATAATGGAAAAATCGATTATTGAACTACATTCATACGAGTATATGTATTCCGAAATAACTACGAGCAAATGTTACATACCAAACACACAAAGGCGAATGCCACTTACACACAAACTAAATGTTTATTATGGTAACCAACCAACCACAAATATTACGACTATGATTATCATTCTGATCTATTTATGTAAGCAGTTAATGTTTACGAACGAACGAAAGCTGCAGAAGGCTATGGAGAGGTGTACCAGAGAAGGACAAGCAATGTTAAGCTAGAAACAGCAACAATGACGAACCAAACATATTCGAATCTCTAAGGATCCAACAGTGCGGATCCACAGGAATTACAATTATAGGGCTCAGTCGGTACAGGGAGATTGGGAGCAGCAGCAGATGAACAATATCTAGATAATACACAATACATAAATAAATAAATACTTATACATAAATGTTGCGAGCGACAACAACGAAGTCATATTAATCCTTCAGGATATATTCAACTGATGCAATAGCTTCGTAATCGGTCGGGTTATGCATTTGATTTAGCTGCAATTGTTTTTAGAATTGTTCCTTTGTTACGCACATGTTTAAGCATTATTTATACCATAGACAATTTTACAAACGTGTTCTGTTAAAGATTTAAATAATAGACGAATTCCATATCGAGGCAATTATTTCAATTGGGTTGTATTCATCTTCCTCTCTCGCTCTGCCTAGCACTAAAACTAGGTAAATATATAAGAGCATTTTAAGGTACATATATTTAATATACAAAGTAGACTCGAGATATTTGTTACTCTCCTCGATTTTAGTAGAATGCAACAAACATTTTGAATCTAAACAAATTTACAACTTTACAACAATAATAAGGCAAAAAACACACAACTATTGTTTTGGGCTCATCCTATAATCCTATCATCGTTTACATACCTACATATATTATAACAAATATACAAAATATGTATTTAAGTATAAGCGAATCTTTGGCTACATGTACTTTTTCGTAAACCGTATACATCATCAATATAATCGAACTGGCACATATTCACAAAATGTTTAAGTACATAAATAAATACAGGCATCCATCAACGGAACACCATTATATGATACAACAACATGGCACACCCCACCCACAAGACACCCCATAACTACTCGAACAACATACATAAATACTTACATACATACATACATATATCAAAAAATGCCGACAAGAATGCTGAAAAAATATAAATTGAAATTCAAACGAAATACTCAGAGCATAAAGCGATTAGCTTACACGACTTCTAATCTGTTGCAAAATACTAAACCAAATAAAATACTCGAATTATTGTGAAAGTATAGCAAGAACATTGTGCATGTATGTATTTATATGTTGTCTGTAATTGATAATTGAAATCAACATGATCCATTCCGAGCAAGATGCTGGAATGATTGCACACACAAATTTATTGCAAAAATCTATATACACATACATCCATACTCGAACATACAATAAATTATTCCAACAACAGCTAGGAAAAAGCAAAAGCATTAAAGTAACAATAAACGAGTTGATGATTGATACAAAAGCAAAGACACAAATTGTTTTTGTGCTTTCCTCCACACTTTCCACATCCACTTGGTAGACGCACAATTTCGCGTGCGTTTACCTGTCAAATTGAGTTAGCATTGACGACATTTACAGAGTCGTTTTCCTGGAAGCGACGATCAAGGTGATCTACTCCTTGGGCCGGAAAAACGTCTATGGGTAATCTCAGGCTAATGACACTGCGATGGTAGGAAAAACACTCTCGCTTCTGCGCCTCAATCGGCTTTTATGGTGCAGCGATGCCTGCCAAATGATTGCCTGCTCTCAGCACCTAAACCATCTGTCGTCCCTCCCTCCAGCGATCTGCTGCCTGCCAAGGCGGAACACCAGTTTGGCATTGCAGATGGGCGACAACGGATAAAAGCCAGGCCTTTGGCCAGGCCCAGACTAGTCTCAAATCACGACAGTCGGTAAACGCACGCGATCTTCGAAATGCAGCAACTAGGCTCGGATTACATCACCTTCTCTCTACTTGGCTTAGTCTGCTTCCTCAGCCTTGGGGAAGCGGCCAGCAGACAGCTGCAGATTTACGACATGGATATGGACAATGAAGTGTCGGGAAACAGCACCGAAGGCCAGCCCAGACCCGGCCTGACGCTGGAGAGACCTCTGAACTGGCTGAGGCAAGCTCACAGTATGTTTGGCAGCCCCGCCGGTCATGTGGTCATTCAGATGGCCAAGGAGCTTCTTCACCGCTCCGCGGGCAACAGTCAAGTGGGTGATCAGGTCGTCAACTTGTCAGCTTCTCTGAGCTCAACTCGGATGTGTTCTCCCTTAGGTTCTCAGCCTGAATCTCACCAATTTGCTGATCATCATACTGCTCAAGGTGCTCATTTTTTCGGCTGGCATACTCGGTGCAGGACATTGGAGTGGCTATGGCCATGGCTATGGTCGCTCCAACGGACGCAGTGACAATGCGTATGGCATGGGCCTGGAATCGGGTGATGACTACATGATAATGGGCTTCCTGGCCGCCCAGGGAGCCGGTCGCGACGAGTGTCTCTATGCGGCTGCCTGTGCCTGCCCCAATGCGGCTTATGAGTACGCCAAGGCGGGACGCGCTCTCCTGGGAGCCATCGAAGTGTTCGACGGGTAAGGCTTATACTCCATTTAATTTGTGAAAAGAATTCATTAACTTGTTTTATCCACAGGGCACCCGCAGGGAAGCCTCGCTACAACGATCTAATTGTGCTGATGGAGCGCGCCGCCTACGATGGCTATCGGGGAGTGGCCTGCAACACCACCCAGACCTGTGATGGGCTTCTATGAGATCCCATTCCGTCCCTGCTACTACCAGCAGCTATTTATGTTTATCTTTAAATTTAGTTTATTGTGTTGCAGTACAAATGAAGTGCAGGTTAGTGCATTCCTGGCCGTAACCGAACTTGGCTGGTGGCTGGCGGCTGGCGGCTTGTGGGTTGTGGCTTGTGGTGTACAGTCTCAAATGGTTCAGCTTGGAAATCAAATTAGTTGCTAAATATATTTTAACTAATCTACATCTATTATTGTGTCTACTACGGAAGATGGTATTGGCCTAGCGCAACAGATTCCTCTCCAAGTCCGGCTGCTCCTTGCCGCCGGTTATGGCCTTAACGAATTCCGGATAGTGCAGCAGCCCATCGTTGTTGTCGTCGGCAATCAGCAGAAACTTGTCAATGGCCTCTGTGTGGGTACAATACACATTAATGTTTTGGCCATCAATTCATTTTGTGTGTGAATTTCTTACCTATAAAGTGCTCTAGTTCGTCGGTGGCATTCTGCAAGTATTCATCCCGCTCGCTGTTCTTGAAGTAGTCGTAGTTGTGATGCATCGCAGATTGTATCATCTCCAGGCCATCCAGAGCATTGTTATTGTCGTTGTCGTGGGCCTGCAATACGAGAAACATTTGAATGAATTTCACTTTAGTGAGGCTCCCTGTGGGTGTTCCACCTTGAACATGTAGAATATCTTTTCTTCCTCGCTAAGGTCATCCAGGTTGGCCTGCACACCCATTTCCTTGAGATCATCATCGATGCGACTGAAAGGAAAAGTCAATAATGAGCAGAGAATCAGCAGCAGTTGTGGCCCCCACTTACTGCTCTTCGTGGGTGAGATGCTGATCCACTCGTCGTGTCTCGCCGCGCGGATGGTGCGGACCGCGCTTCAGGGCCAGAGCTCCATCGAAGCTTTGGCTAAAATTGGCAATGCAGATAATAAAGTTTAGCACATTCGATAGCTTGCACATTTTGTACATTCAATTGGGAAGCTCTGACAACACTTTGTGCGGAAAGGAAGTGTGTGTTTGGTGGTTGTTGGCCCAGCCAGCCACAACTGTCAAGTGGTGGGGCAGTGCGCAGCCGCTGACTGGCGACTGGCAACTGTCAGATTCAAACTTAGCAACCTCTGAGCCCTTTGTACGTTTGTTCAATAATATCCATTACTATCGGGTTGTAGTACCTAACCACACGTGGACTTACATCAGTTTTTCAGTAAATAATTGTTAAATTTTTCTCAGGCTTCATTGGCAAAATGTGTGAGCCTGCCTGTGACGATTTGGAGACCTTCAATCCCCAATTGGAGTTCCAGAAGTTTCTCAAACGCAAGCCCGTCATCCAGACAGCCAAACTCTATGAGAATCTACACAAGCGCGAGGACATCAAGTGTCCCTGTAAGTATCCTGTCTGTGCCACAAAAACAGACTACCTTCTGACTCTGTTTGTTTCTACGCAGACCGCTTCAAGGGCTATGGCGTGGAGACCGACACCAACACCATGTACCGCACTTGCAACTCGGAGTACGGTTACTATGCCCCCAATGCCTATACCATACCCAAGCGCTTCCATCCGCGTCCGCAAAAGTTCTCCAACGAGGTGGCGCGCTTCGGCATGTATCGCAATTTCTCCCTGAACACCCACATAGATCGCACCTTTTACTAGATTTTTTGTATCCTCGTCAAAGCATAGAGCTTAGCATTGCTAATCTTGGAAATCCCTTCATTGTTATCCATCATTTTGTAAACCTTAAGCTTGTAACCTTCTTTTGCCATTAATAACCACTTGATGACATTTATATCCCTATAAATCGTATGTGTAAAAATAGTTTAAAATAAATCATGGTTTAACAATAGGAGTTTTATTTTAAAGAAAGATTTTTATAGATTTAGCTATAGAAATGGCTAACATATATTTTTAGCATTCTTCGCTCTCACCTTTGCTCTTAGCAATATTTCCACTCCACTGGGACGATCATCAGGTTCTGATTTCATAGTCGCCTGCGGCTTGTAAAATTTGCTGTTGCTTTTCTGCTGTACTTCCATCTTCACAAAAGCCTGCTTTAAGTTGCCAAAAGATTGCGCACTTCTTCCAATCTTCTTCTGGCGTTGTCATTGACGGCCTCCTCCTTCTTGCTGTTATCTGCAGAATTGACGCACTCTTGAATGACGTATCAGATTGACGCATTGCTTTCCAAATATTCCATCGAGTGCAGTATTCAATTTCGGCTCAACAAATTTAATTTGGATGTACTTATAGGGCGCTTCTTGTTTTTTGTAGATTGCATTGTACTGAAGGACCACCCTACTTCTAGAAACAACATTCATGGCAATCAAGTACATAAATTACTTGCCTTGATTGTTATGTTAATTATTTTGTATCTACTTTTCAGTACGCATATATATTTTTCAAAAAAGAAAAACCCAAAAAATAACAAAAAATTACACAGTTCAACATTAAAGTTTCAAGTTAACCACCAACTGCTGGGCTCTATCAGCAAGCCAACGAAATGAGGTGAGCCATGGCCGTCATTAGCATAGTTAAAGCCCCGATAACCCAGATTCGAACTGCCCTTCCTCGAACAGTGAGACCAAGAAACTACTCGCCCAATTGCTGTGCGACATTTACGGCAAGGAAGAGGAGCTTGCAAGAAGCGTGCGGCTCTCTGGTGGAGGCATGGATCCCTATCCAGAGGACTGTCCTTCAAGATCCCCAGTAAAGAAGAAGGGACAAATGTCCCGCCTGGTCAACGGTGTGACGGGTGGTCGTGCAGTCTTGGAAAAACTGGATGTTCTCAAGCTTGCCAATGTCGCTGATATTCTCAAGACGGAGATCCTCCTGATGGGCTATCTGCTTCAGACTGTCCTCATAGCCAGGGATCGCAAAAAACGGCAACAGGAGGTGCTGTGCAAGTTCATCATCACCACACTGGAGAGATGTGAGTAACTTTTCTCTCAGTGCAGCAACTGTCAAAATAACTGGGTGGTGGGGAGCTGCAGTGCGCACTGCGCATGTCCCGCGGAGTGACAGCTGTGGGCTTGGGCTTGGGCTTGCCTCTGCAGGCCATTCCTGGCCCAGTCAAGTGCGGACCTCTCAGCTGTGTGCCTCGTTAGTGCGGAATAGGAAAAGCCTACAAACAAAATTCAAGCTGAACGCTGAAAAAATCCTCGCTAGCGTCACGCAACGTGCATGTATGTGTATGTGTGTGTGTGTGTGTGTGTGTCTCTGTCTGTGTGTGCATGTGCGTGTGCGTTTGCTTTATTCAATGAACTTTGTCTGTGTGCGTGTGTTGTGGGCAGGTGAAGCGTGTGCGTGTGTGGGTGTGTGCCTCGGGGGGAGGCCACGTTGATGACGACACAAAATGAGGCGATGGTGCCTGACGCTGAGACTGTCTGACGGGCCAGCCCCCCTTCCACCCACACACACACACACTGAAGCATTCTCTGCCTGTACGGCTGTGTATGTGTGTGTGTGTGGACACGCGGTTGGAAATAACAACGTGTAGATGTCGGCGTCTCTGCTGATGTCGGGTCGGACTCGGCCTGGCCTCCACAAGCATTTCTGTCCGCTTTATCTATGTTTTCATATCTCTCTCTCTCCTTGTAAGTGTGTGTGTTTGTGTGTGTGTGGTGGGGGGCTGCCCCGTGTTACCCTTGACAAAAATACTCTCATAGTGAGGCAACAGCGACAAGAACCACCGAAACAAAACAGTCATAAAAAAAAAAACGAGCGCGTGCTTAAAGTACGAGTAGAGCATTCCATCGGAGGCGACCATTTATTTATTTATTACTATTTTACCTTCGCACCCATTCGGAAATGCGTTTGCACTTTCTAATTGAGTTTTCTGCGGCAGCGGTAGTGGCATTGGTGACTGTTGTGAGAATGTGAGTCCCGACCGTGCGTAATTGAATAATATACCTTTATCGATCGCCGAGACAAAAGACGAAACGAGACCGAGGCCCAGTGCGGTGTAATTAAAAGCTGCAGGAAATCGAAATAATGCACTTATGCCATGCAGAATTTCATTAAAACCTCAACTCGATTTTGGCCTCGATGTACGAGCGCGCCATTTTGTCGGCCCTTTTCCTGTTCCAGGGGAACGTGAAATGTTTTTAGCCCGCCCCGTATGAAATGGCTTTGTTTTGATGACTGCCGCACATGTGTCCTGTCCTGTCCTGTGCTGTGCTGCTATTTTTGTTTGCCATTGTGGGTTGTATGATTCATGTCGTGCTGCCGCCACTCATGAGCTCGGCAGAAGGAAAAAAGTTGATTGCGGATTGCATAACTACAAAGAATGTCCCACAAAACAGAAAGTGAAGGCCGTGTGCGGCTCAGCTGGGAACAGTGTTTAATCCATATATCTGGGGCAAACCCATTCAAATCCCTCTAGCAGTGAGTCGCGTCAACTTTGATTTATGACTGAGAGAATGAGAGTGAAACTACAAGGAAAAGTCTGAGCGACTTAAAGAACTTAATCAATGTAGAAGTTGAGCAGTGTTCAAACAAACTGCTGCTGCCGAGACCCAATTAATAGCCACTTGGCAAACATGAATAGAACAAGTTCCCTGTGGGCAATGCCGCTGCCTCTGCCGCTTGTTCTTACTGCCACAATCTGGGCTTGGGGTCATGTTGGTCTTAAAGCTATTGCCTTAATTAAAAGCCACACTCAGGTTTAATGCTCTGCTTAAGCCTCCTGTGGGAGGTTGCTTACTCAAGATTACATATTTAAATTCTTGGAAATTTTAGATCCGAATTTCGGGGCAAATATAATTACTTAGGCGAACCACTGACAGAAGCGTAAAGCGTGGGGCAGAAAGTGGGTCAAGCCAGGGAATCGATGATACGGCCAAGTCGTACAATGGCATGGCTTAGACCCCTAGCCTGGCCAGGCATTGAGAGCGGGTTCTCGTCTGCAGTTGCACGGTTGTCAAGGTTTTCCTTTCTTCTCTTTTTACGTGTCTGAATGGCTGTGGCTGTGGCTGTGGCTGTGGCTGTTTCTGTGAGAGTTGATTGTGTTTTGTTTTAAGATAGCTTTCAATGACATTTGACGTCAAAGTTATATAACCGTAGCATGCCACAACCTTATATACAAATATAGCATATACTACGACTAGTAGTAATCAGATATGTACTGTGTAGAAGCATGCTTATGTCTAAGTGAATCTATGTACGTGTTTTTATGTAAATCTTGTGTAACTAATACAATAGGCCACAGCAAAACAACAACAACAACAACAACAACAACCACAACGACAACAACTAAAGCAAAAATGTAAAACAATAACTAGAGAATCCCCACAACAAGAACAAACTACTTACAACTACAACAAAGAGTCGCTGAGACAAGGGCAGTGGCTGAAACCATAGCATACCGACAGGCGCACGTTTACTTAACATGGGTAACTATGCCAAAAGCTGCACCAACCAACACACCAAACACTCAGTCTCTATATATACATAGTCATACATATATATAATATACATACTTGTGTCTGCATCTCTGGAGTGATTAATCCACGATTCATGTGTTTTTTTAGCGCCTCTCAAAGTCAAATGTCAAACTAAACAAGCCAGAAAATATTCCAAAAATACATGCTTCGGCTTGTTCGTTTCCAAACTAAACCTAACTCTTTCTCCATATATCTTTCTCTTTATCTGTGTCTTTATCTTTGTACATTTAACAACGAAATACTAACAAAATATCTGCGAAAAGGTAATTTATGCAAAAGAAGTTGAACAGACAGAAACAAAACGCTGCTGCATATTCCATACGATATTTGTCCAGCATCACAAATGGCAAAACACCCACTCACACATGCACATCCACACTTATCCATACACCCACTACCAAACACACACACACACACACACACATATTTAGCATTCTCGTACACGTGCACCTCCCGTCCAGGCATATTACTCATGCTAGACGCGCACAATTCTTATTTTGGCAGCCGCTCGTAATTAACATTTGCATTTTTGTTTTTGTAACTGAAAGAGTTATTTTCCGCCCGCCAAAGGGCTGGCATAAATTTCCATTATTTCGTAGTTGAAAGGGGGCGTTCAAGCCCATTAAACCAATTCATCCAGCCTTGCTGGCATTTAATACGAATTTTCCCACTACCCTTTTCTTCTGTTCTTTTGCCATTTTTGCTCAGCATTGCTCACTGTATGTTTTCCAATAAATTCCCTAAATGCTTCCTTAGTCACACAAACATACATACGAATGAATGTAAAACTGTTGCATGTTGGCCAAGTTTTTGCTTTTTTTGTTTTTTTTTTCTACTCTTCACAAGCATTTGCCAGCCACACAATTTCCTGTGTGTTGTTCTTCCGGCTTTGGTTCTTGATTTTTGTGTATTTTTATCTTTGACATTTTTTCCATCAAATTGTAATTACGGCGCCGCTGTTTATTTTACACTCGGTGAACGGCAACGCTGACGCTCAGAGCGTGTCTATAGCTATGCAAAGTGACACCAGCTGATATGTGGGTGGGCGACAGGACCATGAGACACACACACAAACACTTTAATTTTATGAGAAAGGACACCTTAAGTTAACAGATAATAACCCAATCAGCGTCCGAATAATAGCTACAGCTGCTGTGCACCCTGCTGAAATGAGTTTAGTTCCATAAAAGATACCTTTTGGATTGGGTAACATTTTGGGCATACCTAAGAACCCATTGCAAAAATTCTTGAGTAGCCTGACTGTCACAGGCACAGATCCCTCATCAAATTCAACTCAAGCAAAAGGAAAATTACAAATAAAAATGAAAAAATTGCATGTTTTTGGCAGGCCAAATGTTCAGTTAAGTTTTGAGCGCAGATCTTATTGAAATTGACAGACAGGCAGGCCTTGGGCCATTGGGAGGCCTGATGCAAATTGATTGCCTGTTCTGGAAAGGCACCCCACCAGGACACGTGTCGTTTGCGTAATGCTTCTCATGGACATTTAATCAAAGTTAAGCTGCACTAATTCTTTGGTTTTAACTTTAAACATAATGCAAGTGGCCGGGAAGCACATTCCCTTTACACTTTCAGGCAGAGTCGCGTGTTGAAGTGCTTTTGTCTGGGTGCCGCGTGATAAAAGAAAATTGCAATCGTTAAACCGATAAGCCGATAAGAATTGGGGTTAAGCATTGCAATGGTTTAATGAACCATTGAGGATTAACTTTAGTGCATTACACGGTCTCATCTCATCTCTGCTGGATGGCCGCCGGTCGGGGGAATTCATTAGAAGATTCACGCTCGAATTGACACTAATGGCACTGAACGTGCCTGCGCATCCAAGTGCAGTTGGGATTGGGTTCGCTTCCAAGACAGCCGCAGACAAACTGACGCTACTGCCGCAGTCTTTCTCTGTTGTTCTCTGTCTCTCTTGTTGTCTCGCTCTGCGTGTTCCCGCTTTGGGGTCATGCAATCCCTCGGGATAAATACGGTTTAAGTACACAGCTTTTCCTGCTCTTCAAGCTCTGCTTGCGCACAGTGGCTGAATGCCGGTGCCGGTATGGGCCAAATGGCCATTATATAGAGTGAAGTAAATCTCGCTTGAACTGCTCCAAAGGTGTCGGAGCGAAGATAAATTAACTTTTAGTCATGTGTATGCCAGTTTTCCAAGGGAGTGTTGTGCCTCAGCTCTAGACCCTGAATCGTAAAAACTATACTTTTTATGCGCTGCAGAAGTTTAGTGGGGTTATAGTTTAGTGCAGAACTTTTTAAGCGGTTTTTTCATCAACACTTTGAAAGCTACTTGTGGTTGGGAATCTTTCTGCAGGAAATATAATTCGATTCGGTATATTTTAGTGGCCTGTAAATGTCCGTAATTTAAACATAGATGAACATGAAATCTATGTAATATTTACTGCCCAAAATAAACATTAAACTAATAGAAAATTGAAAATTAAATTAAATTAGAAGTAAAGTCAGACATGTAGATTTTGGTAC